ACAAATTCCTCATGATATTGTGCAGTTGCAAAGGCAGGATGAAACTTTAAAACCGTTGTTTGAGAAAGCTAAGGCTGATAGTACAAGGTCGGCATTAATTCAGAAAGATCAACTGGTGATCAAGGATGACAAGTTGTACTTAATAAGTGCTGAAGGTGAGAGATTGGTGGTACCAGAGTCTATGAGATTGAAGGTATTACAATTGGGACATTCCGTACCTTGGGCAGGACATTTAGGCCAGCAGAAAACACTGGCGAGAATTGCTGGTAAGTTCTTTTGGCCTAAGCTCTATACAGACGTTATCGATTTTTGTAAATCATGCCCAGAATGTCAGATGGTGAGACCAGCTAAAAAGAGTGACAGAGTACCTCTGGTAAGCTTGCCTATTATTGACATACCATTTTCTCGTATTGCGATGGACATCGTAGGACCTTTGGAAAGGAGTAGATCTGGTAATAAGTACATTCTTGTTGTTGCTGATTACGCTACGCGTTATCCAGAGGTGTTTCCTCTCAGAAACATCAAGACAAGGCAGGTTGTCAATGCACTGGTTCAACTTTTTTCTCGAGTAGGATTGCCTAAAGAGATAATCACAGACCAGGGTACTAATTTTACGTCTAAGTTAATGAAACAAGTTTGCTCAATGTTGCGCATACATCCTATCCAGACCACTCCTTATCACCCTCAGACCGATGGTATGGTGGAGAGGTTTAACCAGACCTTGAAGTACATGTTACGAAAGTTTGTGTCTGATACAGGAACTGATTGGGACCAATGGTTGCCGTATTTGATGTTCGCTTATCGTGAAGTCCCACAGTCATCAACAGGCTTCTCGCCATTCGAGATGCTATATGGACGTCAGGTTCGGGGACCGTTGGATGTGCTAAAAGAGGCTTGGGAAGGAGATAATGCACGTGAGAAAACAAACATTTTGTCATATGTCATGAAGATGAGGGAGAAATTGGACTCAATGGCCGAGGTTGTGAGGGCTAACATGACAAAAGCACAGCAGCAACAGAAACATTGGTATGATCAGTCAAGTAGGAAAAGAACACTGAGCCCAGGGCAGAGGGTATTGTTATTGCTCCCTACTACAGAAAGTTCTCTTTTGGCCAAATGGCAAGGGCCATATGAAGTGCTTAGAAAGCTGAGTCCCACAAATTATGAGATTGCTGTACCTGACCGTAGAAAAAAGTCTCAGATCTTCCATATTAATCTTTTGAGGCCTTGGAATGAGAGAAAAGGCTCATGGTCAGAGCAGCTGTGGGCGAGGAAAGTGGAGGATGAAGAGGAATTGGAGGAACAATATTTTCCTGTTAGTTCAAATTCAACTTTCCCACTAATTGATCATCTAACACCCAAACAGCAAAAAGAGTTCCAGAGTCTAGTTCCAGGGGGTCTCTTTTCTGACAAACCAGGAAGAACAAAACTTTTGCATCACGATATTCGTTTGCTTGCAACAGAGCCGATCAGGCAAAGTCACTGCAGAGTGCCAGCACGCCTGATCCCTGCCTTGAAAGAGGAAGTGCAAATGATGCTGGAGTCTGATATCATCGAGCCCTCAACAAGTGAATGGTGCAGCCCAGTGGTATTGGTACCCAAGAAAGACGGCACGCTCAGATTCTGCGTTGATTACTCGAAACTGAATGCAGTATCATCTTTCGACCCTTATCCGATGCCGAGAGTCGACGAGTTGATCGAACAACTAGGCAAAGCTAAGTATTTAACAACGTTAGATTTGTGCAAAGGATATTGGCAAGTTCCTTTAACTGATTCTGCTAAGAACTTGACTGCTTTTCGTGTTCCAGCAGGGCTATACCATTTTAAGTATATGCCATTCGGTCTGCACGGGGCCGCAGCAACCTTCCAACGCCTGGTGGATCAAGTGCTGAGGGGTCTGGACAGCTTTGCAGCAGCATACATTGACGATATCGTCATCTTTAGCGAGTCTTGGGAACAGCATCAGGAACACTTGACAAAGGTGTTTGAAAGAATTCAGCGGGCAGGTCTGGTGGTAAATGCCAAGAAATGCCAGATAGCCAGACAGGAAGTTTCTTTCTTGGGATACATTGCTGGAGGAGGTTCAGTGAGACCTCAAGTGGACAAGCTACAAGCAATTTTGTCATGTGCACCTCCATCGTCGAAGAAAAGTGTCAGATCCTTTTTAGGTTTGATCGGCTGGTACAGAAGGTTTATACCTAACTTTGCCAGCAGAGCAGCACCACTGACTGAACTTACAAAGAAAAGCAGTTCCACTAAAGTCAAGTGGACACCTGAATGTGAACGTGCCTTTCAAGATCTTAAGTCCTGTTTATGTAAAGACCCTGTGTTACAAAGTCCGAACTTTGAGTTGCCATTTGTGGTACAAACGGATGCATCTGAGTTGGGACTGGGGGCAGTACTGTTACAGGGGAAGGAGAAAACCGTCGTCCAGTTCAGTACATAAGCAGAAAACTTTTTCCCCGAGAGACTAAGTATTCCACAGTGGAGAAGGAGGCCCTAGCCATCAAATGGGCCTTGGACACGTTAAAGTACTATCTGATTGGTAAAGACTTTGTGCTTGAGACCGATCACAGAGCATTGCAATGGCTCAAGAGAATGAGAGACACTAACGCAAGAATAACACGATGGTATTTATCCCTGCAACCTTTTAAATTTGAAATCCAATATAGACCAGGAGTGCTTAATGTTATGGCTGACTTTTTGTCACGTCACTCCTGAGGTCGTGACTGTTTAGAGGAAGGGGGGTGTGTGATGATGAACCTGTAGGTTATCACCATGTGAACATCCGTTCACAGTGTTGTTGTTTACATTGTCTTTTTGTTTAATGTTATAATTGTTTTCATATTGTTTATTTTTGATTAAGGATATTATTTGTGATTATGTATCTGTTTGGATTTAAATGCAAGAACACTGATATTGAATGTTTCCATTGTCAGGGGAGTTATTCGACCCCTACAGTTGGTATGACCACTAGTTTTGGCGGGAAAATAGCATATATAAAGGAGTGAGGCTAATTGAGTGGGGAGAGACGGGCCATGTGCCAGTACTAGTACAGTCCAATGCTGTAGGATGTGTCGTGATTGTCAGAGTTTTGTTCCTCGAGGCTGGATTTGATGCCATGTTTTTGCTGCTTTCAGCATGTTTTATTTATGTTTTGTAATGTTTATTTTGATTATTTTTTTGATGATTTCTTTTGTTTATTTTTGAACTTGATTTGGAGCACGTGTGCTGAGACAGCTGTCCTCAATAAATTCACCTTCAACGATTTCCTGCATGGTACTCCAGTTATTCCATCCTTTCCCGGGCCTATCGGCAGATAAATTGACGCAACGACTCAGGGTAATGGTATTCAACTAGACCTCTGACAACAAATCAGTGTGGCATCTAACATCAGGCGGCTGTAGTTGAAACCACATCCCGACAG